ACTGAGTCAACTGCCTGGATGGGCCTTACTCTGCATCTGCAATTGCCTGGCCCTCGAGTTCCAGAGCCCCATGTCTGTTCTGTAGAGGGAACTCAGAAGTGGAAGGAAGGCAGGAGGGGATACACCTACCTTTCCTAGTAGGGACCTGTTTCCATTCCTCTCCCTCTCTTAGGTCCCTTCCTTTTGCCTGGTGGCAAGAGGATATGGGATCCTCTGCTGCTTGTGGGGCCTCCATCTGCTGCCTTTGCCTCAGGGGCGGTAGGGTTTGGCTCCACCAGTCCAGCTCCCTCTCATACTCCCAGATACTCCTCAGCCTTTCCACCTCCTCCTTCAGCCCTGCCACCAGCCAAGCAGATCACCCCCCCAGTCACACCTCACACAGACGCTGCCCCTGCTGCCCTCTGGTATGAATGACAGGCTCAGGCACTCCCTGCAGCCGGACATCTGGACAGCTGTGTGCTGGACTGGGAGCACCCTCTGGGTCACCACATTCTTCCTGGTGATGGCTTTCGGCTGAGTGGCCACCATCACCTGCATGCCTTACCGCCCCACCGTACCTGTGCAAACTACTGCGCCTACTGCCGGTCACATCCTGCTGCTGCACCATGCCCTGTTTGCCTCTAGTCACCATGCTCTATGGTGCTGGAGAGAAACATCTGTGCTAGAAAATACAATGCTATCAGCTTTTTCTAGAACAAATGAAAAATCAGACACTTTATAAAGTGTGTGTACATTGTGTTTCCAGTGGGGGCCAGAGGGGAGCGATGGGGGCAGTGGGAGCAGGTTTGGACCTTATGACCTCCACAGATCCCTTTCAACCTCAACCATTCTGGGATATGTGGAAAAAAGAAAAACATTAAAGGCCTTTGATCTTCTGGAGTCCAAGCAAAGATAGATTGATGGACTGCTCTGTCAGTTGGTTTTGCTGTGCTCTGCAGGCATGACAATGTTTTTGCCAGCTTAGGAAGCCATGCCACACCACCTTAGTTTCTGTAGTGGTTGTGAGGGGGTACCTCTGGCACCGAACTCTGAAGGTTTTTGCTCTCAAACTGAGAAATCATTTACAGTTCACACAGCCTGAACTAGGGCTGTGAATCTCCAGATTACCTCTTGCAAGAAAGTGATGTACTAACAGCTTGCAACAGGGGACTATTCCGTTGGACAAGACTGTGTTCAGCAGTGGGGCCCATCTACAGCACAGCTCTACCTCCCTTTCTGTACACTGAAGTACAAAACCCAGGTCAGGTGGGCCCAGATGTGTCTGGCACATAGGATCTCAGTGCAAAGGGGTACAGTGCCATGCTATAAATAAGTGAACTGTTGACCTGGTGTGGTGGCAGTCAAATGATTAAGGCTCTTGATTATTTTGTGGTAATGGAAGAAACAAGTGTGCCATCCAACATGAGCAGCCTATACATAGGTAATGTTGGACCATCAAGGATTAGCCAAAAGAGGCATTGACCACGATGGTAGGGCTAATCTGACGCTTTTCCAAGAAGCATGAGTGCACTGGATGAGAAGGAATGGAAAAAATTTGTAGTCTAATAGGGAGCCATGGTGAAACCTTCAAAGGTGTCATGGGAGGGACATTAATCTGCTGGTTTTCTTAACTACTTTGTAGCTGGAAACTCAGAAAGAGGTGACATCCACCACTTTTTCAGACAGGAGTGACAAAACACCTTGGGTTTCTTCTCTCCCATCCTTGTTACTGAGAGCAGAAACAGGTCAGACTGATACCTGAATGCTGGTGTGGCTGTGTCCTGGAGCCAGGTAAGGTGAGATCCAATTGGATATACCTTTCCTAGGTACACAGACATAAACCAGTCAGATGGAACTTCCCAACAGTGTCAGCATCCTCTTTGACCCAGCATCTAATGCTGTGCACAAATTCATCTTCCCAGAGCACTGGGATGTCTGCACAAAAGTATCCCATTCACTCTCCAGCCTTTGCTGTGCTGCCAGGCATGTCTCCTCAACAGTATTTGCCAGTGCCAAAGTATCTGGGTTTTCTCACTACCTAAGAGTTTCAATTATACTACACATACACCACAAAGCAGCTGAACATATATTTACCTGGAACACCCGGCCTCAGAAGGTGGCAATGGATGGACAAGAGGCAGTGGAGCCAGCAGAAATTTGCCAACTGGGGAAAAGCTAAATGCGGCAGGGGGAGATCCCAACCACCAACTCACAGACCACCTACTCCAATTATACCACCAACCCAAAAGAAGGAGGCAGAGGAAATAAACTGGACATGTGCACTAATTTACATTCTAGGCAAAGAGATTTTAGCCAATCATTTAGGAAATAGGCAGTCCATGTTGGAGGGATAAGAATACATAAGAGGACAGCAAATAGCATGTACAAGAATGTAGCAAGGAATTCCTGGAACTTTTGGATGAGTGCTCCTATGGACCAGAGCCCTTGTTGGCTGGACCAATGCTGGAACCCAGACCAGTGACGCCTTTCTCTCTCTCTCTCTCCTCTTTTTTTTTTTTGTTTTTTCCATTTACCTTTCTCTAGTAAGTAATGCAAAGCATAAATGCCTCATGTGCATGGCAAGCAGTATTGCAGCTACCTCATTGTTTACCAATTAACCTAACTATGGAATAAAAAGTTTTGTTTACCTACAGACCTCAGGTGTTGTATACAACCCATTCCAACTGAGGGAATCAGCAAATCTGAGTCACACCTTCCCCCCTTCTTGCCACTGTGTGCTTGGACCCAATAAACTGGGATGTGACATGGTCAGAGGCAAGAATCTGGGACACGACACTGCTTTCAAAGTAGAAGGTATGGAGGAAGCCTGTCAAACACCTAGCCTTTAAGGTCAGGACAAAATTGCTCAAACATGATCATAGCAGCAGTTTGACTTGAACGTACAGTTTTGACTACGCTTACTTTAGAAAGAAAATTACTCACAGCTGAACATCAACATTTGGAGCATCTGAAGTTGGATATATCTATTTTATTGACACTGGTACAGCAGCAGAGTGACAGAAAGTGTTTATGTCCATAAGCAAATGGAAGAATACTTCCTACTAGTGTCGCTCTAGCTACTGCAAATCCACAGCTGGAAAGATACTTTGCGTGAATTCTGGTTATCCCAGAGGAAGGTCATGTATCACTTCCAAAACAACACAGAAAGGAAAGGCTCTGTTCAGTCCACACATGTCAAAATGAATCTTTTGGTCCCGAAAATCACCTGTCTCAATGCATTACGCAGCTAGAATATGCAAGCAGAGTCCAGGTCAACATAGCAATGTCTGTTACCCTTAAGACCATGCATCATCAAATGTCATGCTGTCAGATTATTGGTTTGAAATGAAGAAACATATCTGTTGGCTTTTCTGAAGTGCTGCTTTACTGTTGCAGTGCTTAAAATACCCGCACCCCCATTCTCTGGAACAAGGAGTATCCCGACATGTCCAAAAGTGAATGTGAAGCACGGAAGGGAGTAAAAGGATATACTGATCCAGTGGATCTATTAAAAGATTTAGGCATGGCAATGCTTAATTTTTAGTCCTCTCAAAGCAGAATCCAGAACTCATGCCAGGTGTCCAGACTCCGTATATACTGCACAGTATCAGCCACTTCAAAGCAGGATCTAAAACTATAGCATATTGCATAGAGAGTTGCCCATAGTCAGCATGTTCAACCTTTACCTGGGGATACCCAATAGGAGATACCTGAAATCTTGCTTCTGTCTGGGCTTTCAATTCAATCAGAGATTCCGCATTCCCCCTACAAGGTAATTTCACGTCTAAAGACTTTGCTCAGGAACCTGGACTCAGCCTTCCAAGTGTTTCCACTGGGGTCTCAGCAAGATGCCCTGGCAAGAACTGAGGAGTCAAAGCGTTTTACTGGAGCATAGCATTAAGTGATTCACTGAAAGTTTCACACCAGCCTCTGGCAGAACTAACATTGACTACTGAGTCTCAGATCAGAGCCTTCAGGAAAAAACACATTCTGCATAGTGTCTCTTCCAGGGTTAAAATGCCATATGAGTAAGAGGATGCTGTGGGTAAAGCAGAAGGCAGCCTGGAGCCCAGGTTCTCCATTTCCTGGATATGTGCTCTAGGCACTAGTAATTTTTCCAAAACATGGACTGAGGGTATTTTACCTCCAACCACAAACTGAGCAAGACTAGTGCAGTCGAAATGTGTTACACCTGTCCAGATCACACTAGGAAAAGTAGGTTTTAGATCTGGTACCAAACAGTCTTTGGATGGAAATAGAAAACTTCCCAGGAAGCTCACCTAAGGACACAGTGCTGCTGTATTTACTCAATCAGAATGCAAATTCTGCCTAAGCCTCATAGGAAGGTTGTTGTAAGAATGTTCAGATTTAGGTTGGTTCTCATTACTTTCACTTTATGAGGCAGTTTCTGAAATCTGGAATAATTATGATGAAACTAGCCAGAAGGCTCATGGTCAGCACAAGAGCCTGAAATGCCAGTCATAGAATCATAATACCATAAAATGGTTTGGGCTGAAAGGGACCTTCAAAGATCATCCAGTCCAAAACCCTTGGCATGGACAAGGGACATCTTTCACTAGATCAGGTTGCCTAAAGCCCCATCCAACCAAAGCCTGAACACTTCCAATGGCAGGGTATCCACAACTTCTCTGGGTAAAATGTTCCAGTGTCTCACTACCCTCTTTGCTAAATATTTTGTCCTTATGTCTGACCTGTATTTACTCTCTCTCTATTTAAAAACACTGCCCCTTGTCCTGTCACTACAGGTCCTTGTAAAAACTCTCCCTCCAGCTTTCTTGTAGCCCTTCCATGTATTGGAAGGTGCTATAAGGTCTCCCCAGAGCCTTCTCTGAACAGTCTGAGCAACCCCAACACCCTCCGCCTTTCTTCAAAGTTCCTTTCCTCCACAACTGTCCTCTCTGAATGATGGCTATACCCACCATCAAGGCATAAATCTACTGCTTGACTTTCTTGAGCAATGAGTACAAACTGCACACCTGCCTCCTGCAATAAAGGCTTACCTTAGTAGAAGGGACTTCTCAGGTTTTAGCTCTGAGCTTGTTTACTTGACACACAGCAATATCTGCCCTTTCCTCAGTCTCTTCTAGCTTATACTTTTCTGAATTTGGAGAGACTAGTATTGGCTTGTTCATACTGAAATGGCAAAACAAAAGAAACTGAAACTATCTGGTGACAAGCTGGGGCATAAGAGCCAACTTTCAAACTGACAGCCCTAGAAAAGAGTAAACAAGTATTTTCTTCAGTTTAGTGACTCACAGCCTCCTCATCTTGTCTTTTGTAGGATTTGATTTTCTTCTGCAGCTTATCTACCAGACCTTGTAACCTCCTCATGTTCTTCCTGTGTTCTTCATTCTGTGGAAACAAATGTGAAATTATACATCCTTGGGAGACAAAACATCATAAGAATTGCTCTCTATTAATACCCACCTGGAAAGTAAACTCTTTGACACACCTTTCATCTTTGTGGATTTTTTCATAGCCTCTGCAGATTGTTTATATTATACTTCCAGCTCAGCTTCCAACTCTTGGATCTGGTGAATCAACCAACAATTGGCTTAAGCCCTCACACAGAACACAAGAAGAAAGGCATCTATGATACCCATGTTCATTGCTGGTACCCACTCTAGCCTCCATCTTCAAGAGTTGCTTCTTGCCTCCCTTCAGCGCCAACTGCTCAGCCTCATCCAGATGGTGCTGGAGGTCCTTCACCATCTGGTCCAGGTTCTTTTTCATCCTCTCTAGGTGACCACTGGTGCTGCTTTTTCTTCAGCTCTTCTGCCATCATGGCCACCTTGGAAAGGAGATAACACAAGAAACTGGAAGAATGTGAAAGAACAGTGAATGCTGTGCACCATCTCAGGCTTTATTCCTGGTTCCAGCTGACCATCTCTTCCCCTGCATTACCTGCTTTTTTTTCTGTGACATGACAATGGCAGAAATATGATATGAAATAGTAGGAAAAAAGGATAGGAAAAAATCTGCCTTGCTGCACACATGGAGCTTGGAACAAACAGAAAGGGTAAATCCCACTGTATGGAGCCACAGCAAAGCTTGGGAGCAGGGCTTGGCACAGCTGAAAGTCTTCTCTGAGTAACACATGGAGTGTGATGGAGTTTGTGTGCTGTGCCTTAGTGCATGCCCTGTTACTGCCACAATAGCTTTCATGGCTAGTGTTACAAGGCAGAAAATAGTTTTAAACAATCAATGGTATTTAAGACAAACATAAGATATATTTTGCTCTCAAACATTTGATTCCTGGGCAATTTATTCAAAATAAGCACTTTGGTGAAATATGAGTGACATTACTTACAAATAATGTAAAATTCAACAAATTGCTTTATCAGCAAAATACCTGAAAAATTCTACATCAAAAAATGTGAGAATAAAATTATGACATTATAAATTATTTGTATATATATGTGCATGTGTGTGTAATTCACTGTAATGCTCTATTTCGATTTCATTCAAACAGAATAAAAATTATCTAATATTTTTCTATGTTCATGAGCAAGTGAAGGAGTCCTATTTTAACTCTAAATAATGTTTTTAAGTGTTAAGATTTTGTTAGGTTCCTATGCACCAAAATTATTAGCTGGTGGGGTCCCATGATACACCAGTCCTCTTGCCTGGCTGAGCTTCATTGGCCTTGCACAGGAGGATATAACACCAATTTTGAATGGAAATTCACAACTCTCATTTGAAAAGTTCTTAAATAGGCTTTGAAAAGATAAGTATTTAAATACATGAGACACTTTACTGGTTTCAAGACTGCAAGATTTTTTGTTGTTTACATTTTCATGTAGCACTGGAAAAAGTTACTTGGTTTAGATTGACTAAATATAGGTTTAGTTCATTATGATGACAACAGCCCCAATAACTCATCTGTTGGCAGGACAAGCTCCCTGTCACTAGTCCTCTTCCAACACATAGCTCTTCAACCAGGCCCACAGACTGGTTCTTTGTGCAATTTGTGACATGACATTAGCTCCCAGCAGCAACGCTGTGGGGAAACCCTGAAAATTCAAAGAGAAAAACACAGTAAAATCCTCATATCTGTGATTGCCTCCTTTGTTCTTTACTCAGCATTTTTTGCTGCATTAGTAACATCATCTGTCTCAATTTGGATTTGTGCCCTGTCAGTTTCAAGCTGCTTCTTTGCATTAGAAAGGCTGGTGTTTTATGAAGGAGAAAAATAGAGGGTTTGAGCGTCTGTCTTACACATAGAGACCAGGAATTACTACTTATTATTACTCTGTTAATCTCTGGACCCAAAAATATGTCTGTATAAGGAAAACAAACTACCTGAGTATGGAGGAGGTGCACATGTCCGTTGGCATCCAGAAGTTCCTGCTCAGCCACCTTCCTCGACCGCTCCGTCTGCTCCAGGGCTGCCCGTAGCTCCTCAACTTCAGCCTGCAGCAGGTTTGCCCTGCGCTCCACCATGGCCACTTGCTCCTTCAGGTCCTCCTGCGTCCTGAGAGCATCGTCCAAGTGGAGCTGCATGTCCTAAATATTAAGAGCCAATTTTGTCCTAATGAATTTCTTGGATAATGTGCTTAAAAATAAATCAACCAGTTTGGCAAACCAACGGCTTGAGAACTCTCTGGATGCTGTGTAGGTGTTTCTGTGCCTCAACAGCCTGGCAGTTGGCATGGCTCAGCTGGATCACCATTTCATTCAGTTCTCCCTCCATCTTCTTCTTCTTCAGCCTAAGGATTCACTTCTGCGCCTGATCTCAGCATCCTAAACACCCTGAATTGTCTCCACAGCCCTTTGATGGTTCATTTTTAACTGACTAATCTCTTCATCTTTCTTTCTCAGCAATCTTTCTGTTGATTTCTGACTTAATCTGTGCAAGTTCTTGGTTGACACCAAGGATTTGACCTCTTCATGCTCAAGAGCTGCCTTTAAAAGAAAAGGGGAAAAATAAATACAAAAGTAATATTTCAGAGAACATAATCATTGTAATGTTACTCAGTGACTTCACACAAACTCCTAAAGTTTGTAGCAATCAACCTTGCACACAGCCACTACCTGGGAGAGAGAAGAGAAAGCTGTTCAGAGTGCTCTCTACCTTTTCCAGTAAAATTTAAACTAGCTCACCTATGCCTCTTCCAGAGCTAACTGCAGCTCAGATTTTTCCACTTCATCTTGTTTTTTGGTTTTCTCAAGGTCTGTGATCATTTTGCCATTTTCAGTAATTCAGTCAGATCAGCTGTTTCCTCTGTGAGATAAGAATGACATCAGTCTGTGGTAGCCAGAGAAGCTGAACTCTGTGTTCTGACTGTGTTCAAAGGAACACTGCTAGCCAGTTCCCTGAAGAGGACAAAGCCTCCTCTCTGAAGTCCAGGGTAGCCAGCTTATCCAGCTTGCTGCGCAAGCTCCTCACCTCCTTAAGGATCTCAAACTCCATCATTTCATGGTCACTGCAGCCAAGGCTGCCCTTGAGCTTCACATTACCCACCAGCCCCACCCTGTTGGTGAGAACAAGGTCCAGCATGGCACCCCTCTCCATCGGCTCCTCTATCCCTTGGAGAAGGAAGTTGTCATCGACGCATTCCAGGAACTTCCTGGCTTGCTTGTGCCTTGCTGTGTTGTCCCTCCGACAGGTATCAGGGTGATTGAAGTCCCCCATGAGGACCAGGGTTTGTGACCGTGAGGCTGTTGCTGTCTGTCTGTAGAGGGCCTCATCCACTTGCTCATCCTGGCCAGTTGGCTTGTAGCAAACTCCTACTACTGTGTCCCCTCTCCCTGCCCTCCCTTTAATTCTGACCCATAAGCTCTCGGTCAGCTCCTCATCCATCCCCAGGTGGAGTTCCACGCACTCCAGCTGGTCCCTGACATAGAGCACAACCCCCCCTCCACATCTCATCCGTGATCCTTCCATTCTGACACTCCCGTCGTAGGAGCCATCCCACCACTTGTATTTCTCCTGAAGTATGTAAACCAGAGCTTCTTGCATTTCTCCTGAAGTATGTAAACCAGAATGAGACATAGTATCTAGAAATGGCCTTCCTAATCCTACGTTAAGAGGTTATTCTACTCCCTGCTCTTTTCAGCATGTCTCTCTTTACCCATACATAAATCTGCCCACATCACTTCCTTGAGCAGTCTTTCTTCAGTTAGTGTCAAAATGCCACTTCTACACCTTTCAATTCCCCTGCTCTCGCAGATACCTTGTTCAGTGCTGTAATTGTGCTGTACTTTCATTGTTCTTAGAGATCTGACTCTACATTTGCCTTTGTTCAAATACTACAAGCAGATGACTCCAGCTGGGTTGCCCTAAATTTAGCAAACTTTTATATATGTCTTCTTTGCATGGCAGTCCCTGAGTTAAAATTCTTTGTCTGTTTGTTTATCTATAGATTAATGTAGCTAAGGTCCTATAGAAATGTTAGCATGTAGAAATGTTAACCCTGTACAAAATGAGAGTGCCATGTGGAACTAATTTAGATGCCTTGCTGAAATCTGTTTTGTTAATGTAGCTACATTTGCCAGTCAAACTTGTAATTTCATCAAAAAAGTAGTACCAGGTTTAGCACAATTTCCTTTCAGTAAAACCATTCCAGTTATAATTATTTAAACAACATTCTTCAAACTTCTACTAGACAGTGGTTAAATATTGGATGTGGTATAGACCACCCTCCCTATTTTTGCTGAAACATGCTTGTGTCAAATTTGAGAATTTAAGCAAAGAATACCCAAACATTCAGATGAACATGACAAGCGAAAATAGGTTTTGGTATACAGCATTCAGGAAGGCATTTGGATGGGCACTGCCCACACAGACCCTGCTATTGTATATGTCTTCATGTTTTCCATAGTTGTTAAATATTAGAATAGTCTTTTCCTAAGAACTATATCATTGTCTTGTTCAGCAAGGCTCTTCTCTCAAATGAACTGGGCTCAATGCAAACACAAGAATGTTATTACAGACCTTTGTTTAAAATCCCCATATAATATCTTGTTAGGAAATCCTTTCCTGCAGATTCAAATGCCTTTCAGAACACTGTTACATCTCCGCTGGTGGAGAACAAGCTTGTGATCCATCAGGCCTACATCAAAGCAACATGGGGATATAGTGATTTTTCTAGCATTTGTCAATTGGTATTTCTGCCATTCCTAATCTGTGTTTTATGAATTACCTGGGGTCTCTGTTTCATTGGGAATGATACAACATAAAAAATGATGATGAGTTGTTTGCAAGTTGGACATCAGCTTATTTAGGTTTTCTTGTAAAAAAGAGATAATTTGCAATCTCTATGTTATTTCAAGACATAATGCAAATATTCATAATATGATTTGACTCTGATGAAAAATAAAAATTCAGAGTTTTTCCTTACTCTACTAGTTAATATTCTACAATCCTGTATAGGCATCAGCAAAGTAAATAGCTACTGATAGTGGATATAATTGATAAACTTTCCTCCTTAAAATGAAAATATGTCCTTACCGGTTAGAAGCTAATTGCAAGAGCCATTGAACCAGGACAAGGATGGAAAGAAATTAACAATATTCAAGGATTACCAACAGTGTTTTTTCTTGATCACATGAACTGTTCATCAAATGAGGGGGTGGGTTGATTTGTTGGTTTTATTACCTAGATGTATTAGTTGTAGATGTGTATTAGTTGTTAGATGTATATTTAAAAGAGAATTGAGACAGAAAATCAATGTTTGTACATGACATCAGAAGTCATCTCGTCTGCAGGATAGCTTTTGTTAGTATCGCATTTCATGCGGTAATGACATAACCTGAGTATGGTCCATGTCACAGCCACTTGGATACTGCACTCCTCATCCTGCCAGGAATGGCTGAGCCTCTTCCTGGCTCCAGGATATAAATGTGTTACAGCAGCATCAAGAGTCTGCAACATGTAATTTGTGTTGCCCACACTGACTGCAAGGCACTGGTTGCCACACAACACCTTGTACTCAGACAGACACAGCCTGGAAGAAGCCAATTACAGCTAAATAAGGGAAGGATGCAATTAGCACCAAAGCTCAAAGCTAAGACTGCCTTTGGGCTGTCTTGAAACTGTGCAATCTGACCAAAGCAGATTCCCTTCTTCCCTTCTCCACCTTCATACTATTGGACCTTATCAGCAAAGCAGAATTACAATTAACATTTACCAGATTGCAAAGGTAACTTCACACAGTATTGTCTGACAACAGAGAAAGTGTGATGGTGGACTAGTGTACGGGACTGCCTCCTCAGCGTTTTCTGAAGCTGGCCCATGCTGAGAGCACACACCTACCCCAGTGAGTATAGAAACAGAGTGGAAGGAAGAACCCTTTTTCTTGGTTCCTTTCTTCTTAACACAACCACCTTTAGCTGGAAAATGAGATAACAGTCCAACTGACGTACTGCTGTAGATCCCTTTGACAGCATTATAATTGTGCATCAAATACATAGAGCACTAATGCTGACTCAGCACTAATTCAAGTCAGGTGATAGCCACAGTTGGAAACACTAGACAGGAGACATAATCCTCTGATCTTACCTTCATCTCTGGAAGCAAAGGTGGCACAAAAATTACATAAAATTTTCATAGATGATTTCTGATACAGCCCCACAACAGTTTCATTTAGGGGATAGAGTTTGTTCTTGAAAGAGGTGTCAGTTGCCTTGGGGAACATGCACTCCTCTTCCAGGATGGAGAAGATGTCCATTGGCTAAATAGAAAAAAAAAGTGGGTTTATGTAAGATAATTTCAAGTTTTAATAATATGTAGTGAAAGAAATGATAAAATGGAGCACTGGAGGTGTTTTATAGAGAAATAGCTTGGGAGGAGCAGGTAAGCAAGACTTTTTGTGAACAGATGGCAAGTTATTCAATAGCACCACATGTTCATAGATAGGGTTTTGAACTACTCAGACATTGGCTGGAAAACAAAGAAAACCAAGCAAAAACTGTGCAGTAAGTTTGTGGAATACAGTAGTGACTTTTGGTGACCCAGAAGGAGCAAAAAGCAAGCAGCTGTGAGGCTTTCTAACATTTGAATTTAACTGAGAGGCAAACCTGAGGAGGAACCAATATGCAACAACAGAAGACAACTGGGGTAAATATGACAATGAAATGACAATTTAAAATGATGTGGAAGAAAAAAAGACAGGAGAGAGAAATAAAAGCAATGTCTTTTTAGAAGGCAGAATACATTTTCAGTCAGTGGATAATTAATCACAAAGGTTATGTTTAAAGGAAGGGAGGAGGTGACTGTCATTAAATACAGATTCTGTGGGAAGGGATACAGCAGCTTCATATCTATGCTTCTGTTGTTTCTTTTCTCTTACAAAGTGAGTGATGGATCTACAAAGGCGGAAGCAGCTACAGAGACATTTGCCTTGTTCTTGAGAGCTGCACTGGGGTGAGGAGGAGGACAGGTCAGAAACGTCAAACAAATGGAAAAAAAAAGCATTTAAAGACAGCCAGAAGTCTGAGAGTGCTATGTAAAAATAAAATTTAAAAATCTTAAAGCAGCAATGTCTAAGACCCCAGTAAAGTGCTGTCTTGGCAGTTTAGTCTCCAGCAGTTGGTTGATGTGCATCACCATCCCCAAGAAGAGTTTTTCATGGACTGGCTTGGAAATGGCATTCACTGCCTGGTGCACCTGCAGAGAGTTGGTTCACCCAGCTATGTGCCATTTGCCAGAATAAAATACACGTCCACCATGAAGAGACACTGTCAGCCGACAAAGGGCACTAATAGGCCTTAATGGTCCTGACCATCCTCAGCTGTGATCTGCACCCACTCCTGTCCCTTAGGGAGAGGACAGTCCCTGCTGGTCCCTGACACTCACATGATCCCATTTGGCCCTTCATGACATACTCATTTACCACTTTCACCCAGGGATAGCACAAACCTTTCAGCAAGTCTGCTGAGTTCAGGCCCATCAGGTACGCTGCTTTGTCAGTTTCTGTAAAACAAACACACAAACAAACAAGAGCTGAAAGACTCTTCTTAGCTGTGGCAGACAAAATGCATTTGAACCAGCCAGAGCTCACTCTGAAACCAGGAAAACTGTTTGGCTTTATTGTACCCAAAAAGCTTGGCCAACGTTACTTTTCCAAACAGCCTTTTGATGCAGGTCCTCATGATTGAGTTGCTACAGCAGCCCCAAAAGGTGTGCAAAACCAGTGAGTGCGTTGGCAATGGGAAAACAGAGTGTGTTTCCACTTGAGCCACTTTTCCACAATGTTACCTAAGCACAAGTCTGGATGTGTTACCAGAAACAGGCAAACACTATAGTAACGTGTCCCAGGCACAACATACTTCAGCAGAGCCATCAGGAATAAGGTGTATGCACACAGTGACTTTATGAGAGGTGGTAAGTTGAAGGCTGAACTTCCTTTTCATGTTCATCAAGGAACAACTGCTTCTTTCCTGGAACACTCTATGCATTGTTAGTGAAAAATGGTATGAAACAGATGGAAACGTGTCTCCAAGAGATGAAGATACTATCTTTTCAAGCTCTGATTTACTTTACAGTAGAGCAGTAAGCCCACCTTATTTACTCACAGGTCTCTGTCACCAGAGGCTAGTTTTCCGGAAGTATCAAAATGAATACAAATGAATTTACCCTGGTAAGCAGACAGATCAGTGATGATTGGCGTTCCTCAGGGGTCGGTG